TAGCACTTGATTTGTGCATGATTCTGTTTTCAGAAATGCTAGTTGGTTGCAATAAATGTCACTGTTTCCTCTTAATATTAGTGTTGCAAAATGGTAGAACAAGTAAATTGAATGACTAAAACTAAATCGATCCTCTTGAAAATCTTGAAGCAGAATGATCTTTTTGTAAATTGTTAAGAGGAATTATCTATATGAATAGAAATAGGCAAGTAATATAGTAAATGTTTTTCATGGGAAACACCAAGAGGACATATAACATCAAGACAACAAACAAAAAGAGCAATGACAAAAAATGCTATGATCATAATGCCTACATGATTTTAAAAAAAACAGAAACAGCTCGATGCACGAGATATGGAGAAGGCTCTCATCCAAGGGTTGTAAATCGTAATGCAGGCAAACTACCTCCACGTAAACATCAATGACTGAATCCACAACTCGAAATCATGACCTATAGGTCCCACAGAGGCAACTTTACCCCCACAACTTGTTTTTTTTTGTCATATCTTTACCTCTTAAGTCTTGATTTCTTGATTTTCCACTTGTTGTTGCTCATTGCCCAGCCATGTCATAATCCTTGATCACAAAAGTTCCTGTATTCTGCAGTATCTCCTGATTTTTTTGTCACTTGTACAACATGGAAAGCTGGAGTAATCTCAAATATCTCTGCATCAATTGCTAATTGCCCTTTTCTCCCTTCTTTGCTTCCTTGCATTTTCACCGTCCCGTCTTTTTTCTTCACCTGTTGAAGACATAATAAAGTAAATAAAGTTTGTTCATTCTATAATACTAAACTTTTAGCTAAGATGGTCATAAGCTAAAGGTGATCAGATTAAACTTTTAGATGAGATGAACCTACAAGCAAAGTCACATATAGGCTCAAGGGTGGTCAGATGAACATCTTTCACCGATATTATACTATGTATGGGTCATACGTACCTTAAAACTACCCATTGAAGCTACTTCCTCTAGCCTCGAGACAATAGTGGATGCAGACTTTTGTGTCGTGAATCTAGCATCCGACCTATGACTCTTATCTTTCTCGAACAAGCTAGAGAGATCAAAACCAGGAGAAAGAGATAGATTGTACTATTTTTTATCGTTTCATAATCTCATGCACCAGCAATTTGAAGACTTAGCTTTTAGTATTACAAAGAAAAGGTAAAATATGAGATAAAAGTATTATCGTTTATAAAAAGGATAAAAAGTGAAATATGTTTATAAAATAACAAAGACGGGAAAAAAATAACGATGTGATCATATACGCTTATAATAAGATTATAATATTCATTTTGTCGTTATTTGTCATACTTTTTTAGTTTATTCCTAAAAGAATGGCATACTCCCTGATCTGGTCCACTTTACTTATCATGATTATATAATTTTTCCAAAATACTTGTCATTTTAAAAAATAAAAATAGAATTAATTATTTGTCTCCACCCCTCTACATTCTTCTAATAAATAAATGTATATATGGACAGAGATTAATATGATAAAAAAAGAAAAGTAATATTAAATTGAAAAAAAAAATTCTAAACTTTATGTTCAATTAAACATCAATAAATAAATTAATATGTCACGTACCTCGTTCAGTATCGTAAATTCTGGCCGCCATAGCAAACGGTTGATCAACAACATCTTCTTGCAAGCTACCTAACCTTGAAGAAAATCTCTGTCTTCTAAAATAATCCGTCTTTGTAACTTATCAATCATGGTAATTTGCTTACCAGAAAGCTGACCAAAGTCGCCAATTTTCATACCCTGTGTGTATGTCGATAAAATTAGTTCATAAAAATATAACTGGTGTCTAACTCGATTCTATTTGGACAGGATAACGATCCTCCCCTTTATCAACTCAATCTATTTTAACTCGACTCATTTAAAAGTTTGTTATATAGCCCACATTGACAAATGACAATCTTAATTAAAGTATTTAAAACAAGACTTATTTTTCTTTCATAAGGCAAAATCCGTGATCGTTATCCTTTTAAGTCCACATGCACCAAATAAATCTGCTCATGTGCAATGAACTACAAATCGTAGGAGATGTAAACCACATAAGGTCGGTTGCAACGAGCTCATATAAACCACAATAAACAAGCTCAAGTTTGACGAGCTCGACTCAAAAGGTATTGATGGAAAAAATTGATCTTTGACATTCCCTATTTGATACTTTATATAAAATCATAATAAAAATTATTAAATAATTAAATAAATTATAAAATAACAATCAACAAAATTAAATGTGTAAAAGTTGGACAAATTGAACTATGATTTACTGTTTAGATCATTAATTTATTATAGCTCATTTCAGCTTAAAATATTTTTCACGAATTAAAATAATTCGTTATTACATTCAAATTTAACCCAACCTGCTTATTTAACATCCTACCTATAGATATTCAACGATATGAGACTCAATTTCGATTCCGCTTAGCGCATAAATCAGCCGTATAAACGAAGACGGCCTACACCCGCCTATCCACAAGACCGAATTTTCCAAAGGGCTGCACCAAGTGGGGGCGAAGAACGGTGATATGTCGACTCTCGCGAGTCGACTACGGCCGTTCGCGTATTCTTGGAAGTTGTTCACCATTTTCCTTAGCAACTCATTCAATTCGTCATCGTTTAGCACCTTTTTTCAAGCATAAACGATGGCGTTTTGAAGCTCTTTTAGTTCTTCTTGTTGATTGTTCATCCATGAATCGTATAAATTTTCTTTTTTTTTCTATTAGAGCTTGAATTTGCCATTTTTGTTTTTTAAGAAACTCACTAGCAATATTATGAATTGAAATTTTTTGATGTATTTTTTTTTTAATATATGGTGTGAATTAAATAAGTTTTTTTTTTTGAGATGCACCAAAAGTCTTGTACATTTGTTAGTAGGTAAATTTTTTGGACATTTCGTGATTTAGGGAATGCTATGTGACGTAGTTTTGTACTCATCTGTAGCTTATTTCGTGTTCACGCAAAATCGGGATTAATGAACGCATCTCAAGAGATATGACATAGACAGACTATTTCAATACAAATATTAATAGTTATTTTTATGGTTCATGAATTTGTATAAATTCAATTAGTGGCTTATAAAGTTAGTTATTAAAACAAGTTATGGATTTAATGAAAAAATCACACTTCATAAATTTTCAATGTTAGACACCACCTCTCACTTTACAAGGGTGTTTGATGGATTTAAATTTAAAGACCTATATCTAAATTTCCTATTCAAATTATTATAAATGAACATGAGTGTGTTTGGTGCGAAACAAAAAAAATTCTATAAAAGTTATTATTTTAAAGAAAAATAAGTGAATTTTATTTATTTATTTGTATCGATACATAAATCTAAACAAAATGTATTTTATTAAATCTATTAGTATAATAATTTGATTAGAAAAGTACTATGGGAGGCGAAGGTAGGGGTCATGGGAATGAATGCTATGAAGAAAGAAATAAAAATAAAGAATATTAAAGAATTAAAAGAATATAATCAACGTAAAATGTCAATTTATTTTTTCTAATTTCACTAAAACATTATTTTTATTGATTAACTAAAAAAAGTTTAAAAATAGAAAATATTTTTCGCTTTAACAAACAGACTATAAAGATCATATGCTAAGAGATAAAGGTCAAACGAGATAATCTCGACGTATTTGGCCTTCAAAATATTTTTTATATCTAATATAAATGGAATAAAAAAAAAAATACTATAAGGTGTATTATAAAAAGACAATTCTTGGAACTCTAAATCATGCATGTGATTCATCATCTTTTAATTTGTCTTTCTTCTTTTTTTGGTTCTTGTTTGTATTATTACCCCCCACCCTAGTAATACTTATTTATTTTCTGATAAATATTTATTCAGAATATACAGATATTTTAGGAACTGTTTTTGAAAGTTAAAAGCATAATATATAAAAATATTTTTTTAAATTTAATTTTAACTAGTATTTATGTTATTCAATTTTGGATGTGCACAAGTAGACATTTAAATTAGTATATTATTGAACAAGTAGAGATATTTATCCTACATGACAATTTGTGTCCTACATGACATTTTATGTTTGTTATGTCATATGAAATGTGTGTATGTGAATATGTTTACTTATTGAACTGTATACAAATTTAAGTATTTACTTATTTACATTTAATATTACGCATAAATCTTTACATGTAGTAGTAATAATACTCTAAAGTTTTAAATAACAAACTTTAGACACTTGACATGTAATAGTAAAGTTTTAAACACAAATTTTAGACACTTGACATGTAATAATAGTAATTATACTCTAAAGTTTTAAAATAATAAATTTTAGACACAGTTTGAAAGTTTATATCTTTAGAAAACTTGTGGCTTAGAATAAATTACAGACATATGTATGATTATTAGTTATTTTTTAAAGATAAAAGAAATTTTAAAAATTAAATTATTTTTTATTATATAAATATGATTTTTTTCTAGATAAATTAAAGGAAAAGTTTTCAAATGTTTGCAAATAAAGGAAAAAGTTTATGATAGGAAACGCTTTATTTATTAGAGTGAGATTTTTAAATGTGAATCTTATTAACTTGAATCGTAAATGAATAAAAAATAAAATAATACAAAAAGTTGTCAATGACGTCCATCTCCCTACTAAAGTGGAAATGTTTTTTGTTTGTTGAAAGGAGAAAACATAAATAATGATGTATCCTTAGCCTTTTTTTTCTTATTGTGCATCATTTTTAATTATTTCTTAAACATAAAAGAATAAATTGAAAGAATCCATAACGATGGAAAATATTGTATAATCATCACATAAGAAATAGAAATTTGGAGCCCCCATCTCTAGAAACGAGTTCTCTAAATAATGAATTCAGATTTAATCAAATTTTAAAATAAATATTATTAACATTAAAAATATTTTTTTTTTTAAAAAACTCTTCACGTGGCTACTCATTTTCAATGTAGTAGTAGTACTAGGATTTTGTCTTTCTTATGATAAAATAAAGGGAAAATACAAATTGCCAACTTCTATGGAAAAAAAGCACAAAAAGCCAAAAATATGAGTATAATACCATGTTCTTCAAAATTGTTAAAAGTATTATATATATACTTTCATGAAAACATAAACAAATTAAAATGATAGAAGAAATTGATACTTTTAGTTTAATTTAATATGATGCGTAAAATCTTATCTGCCCTTGATATATGAACAATAAACCGTATATATGTGTTTTCAATTTTTCCGCTTTTATCCTTATCTTATAGGTACAGTTATAGTTCCTATAGAATCTATCATTTAAATACTCTTAAAAGAGGGGAATAAGGATAAACATTATCGAAAAAGGTTTTTTATGAGATAGAAATGGAAACTTTTTTTTCCACATGAAATTTGTGAATAAGTGATCGTCTGATAATGAGGTATGTTTTCTCACATGAATCTTTTGTTCTAGTTAGTGGGAATTTCATTTTCGCACCAACGCAAGATATACTTAATGAACTTTATGTATTAACAAGCATAAACGAAGTGTTTGAGAGTAAACATTACATAGTATTTAAGATAATTTTTGGTTTTCGAAAAAACATAAAGTGAAAGGAAAGAAAAACATCTACCTTAACAACGAACAGTAATCGAATAAAAATAATAAATCTCATAGTGTAAAACAAAAAAAAAGAGATTTTAGACTATCAATGTATCTAACTTAAATTCATCTGGATAAATATAAAGTCATTAGAGAGTAAAATAAAAAAAAATTGCAGAAGAAATACACAAAGATGAGAGACACAAACACACACACATTCTTGATCATAAAAGGGCATAGACCACAAAATATCCCACAAATGAAAATGAAGAAATGCCATTCTTGGCAAAGACAAAATAATAATAAAAGAATAAACCAATATTATACAACAATAACTATGCCTCAATCCCGAACAAAACGGGTCGGGTATATGAATCCTCATTGTTCATCATGTCACTCAAATAATAAAAGAATAAACCAATGTGCGACGTCAATTACGCCTGAATACCAAACAAGCTGACGTCAGCTATATTCAATAGTCACAATTCTTGTCAACTCAAATGATAAAAGAATAAACCAATATAGATCATAAATATATGTAGAGGATAGTTAGATACAACTACCCCAAGGGGGTTCAAGAGAAATGGCGTATTTCCGTATTCATACGTAGTAAAACAACACGTACGTACTCAAACTTACAACGTAGACGGACAAATTAAGCTGGATCACGCTGCCTCGCTGGATAACAACTCGAGTTCAGCCCACCACAGAGGAGAAAGCCTTGGAACCGCAGCATTTGGTGATACATCAATTGCTTCCCTTAATTTATCAATGGATTCTTTGATAGTTGGTCTCTTCCTTGGATCTTCTTGAAGGCATTGTTCAATTACTTCACAAATAACCATAAGCTCATTATTCTTGAAAGACTTCAATGATGGATCAACCAGTGAGGCGATATTCTGCTTGTCGTGACGAAAATATTGTGCCGCCTGAAAACAACCATGGTTATGATGTTAATAAATTGTATAAGGAAGTTTGACGGATCAGTTCTATCCAGAGGCAAATCCAGGATTCATTGTCAGTGAGTTCAGAACGACCCTAATTTATACACACATGAGCATAAAGTTGTTGGCTATGTTGCTCTGACTATCCAAAAATGTTGTCGCGGCTCATGTTGGATCCTCCAAAAATGCACTACTTTTGGAGGATCCGACACGTACCACGTGGCATATTTGAAGAGTCCGACCAACATAGGTTTCTGGTATTATGTACTTATGGTTCGAGATGAAAGCAATTGCCTGTCTGTGGGTGCAAAATGAGCCTAATTAATACACGCACAGAAGCACAAAGTTTTCAGCTATGCTACTGACTCTCCAAAAATATAGACGCACCCATGCCAAATCTTCAAAAATGCACTACTTTTGGAGGATACGACACGCACCTGGTAGCGTTTTAGAGGAGTCCGAGCAACATAGGTTTATGGTTTGAGACATTAGTCTCGGGATCAGCAAGCGGTGGCAGCACGGAATTCTCTAAATCATCGCTAGAGGACTTCGACTTGGCTGTTAGTTCTGACCAGAAATCAATCTCTGTAATCTGTTAAAAAAAAGTACTCAGTCGTCAGTAAAAGTTTCTTATTGACATATTTTGGGATATATAGCCATGTGAAACAGACCTTAGCAGCATAATCATCGGTCAAAAATATGGATTTAGAATTCAAGTTGCAATGTGGCACTGGGGGGTTTAATTCATGCATGTATTGAAGACAATACATTGTACCCATAACGGTTCTCATCCTCGCAGGCCAGTCCAGATGATCAGCTTCTTCAACTGGATCATTGAAAAAGTTGTAGTTCGTGTTATTCAGTAATAAATCCAAAAACACCATCATGAATGATTAAAGTGAAACATAGCACTGCTAGAAAGTTTTAATTACCATGAAGATGCTCGAAAAGAGTTCCATTAGGAGCATACTCAAAG